TGGCACTGTGACTGCGCACACCCAGCGAACGCTCAGCACAACGTTGGCTGACACTGTCACTTTCAGGAGTCATTTGAGGGGGCGGGTATTATGACCCCCATTTTACAGATGGAAAACTGAGGCAGCTCAGAGAAATGGCACATTCCCAAGCTTGCACACCTGGTAAAAGCCAGGACTCCAGTTGGGTATGTTTGGTTTCCAAGCCCCTGTTCCTTCCCTGACATCGCATCCATGAGGGCCAGGCCCCCTCAGGATCCTCGGAAGTTCATCCTCCCTGCCTCTTTGCTAAGCCCCCGGCAAGGCTGAGTGCGGGGTTGGAGGCGGGCAGCCGGCTCCCGGTTCTGCAGCTGCTGGACAGGTGGGAGCTTTATCTATAAGGCCGGGCCCGGGCGAGGGCTCGCCTGCAGTCCCACTTAAGGTGAGGCTGACCTGGCGCCCTACTGTCTGGCCACCATGGCACCTCTGTTTGCATCATCTTTGTCCTTTGAAGACTCTGCCGGCCTGTGGCCCCTGTCAGCCTGGAGCTCTGGGCTTCTGTGGGGCCTGGACGGGGAGGAGGAAGCAGCTGTTTATGGCGCTGAGGAAATGGAGGAATGTGCGGGCTGGGATCTGGCCTCTCCATCAGCAGAAACACGTCCTACCGCAGCTGTCAGCTCAGTGCCACATGGGACTGCGGGGGGAGGGGACATGGGGGCCCAGGGGGCGGAGAATGGACTAGAGGGCACTGAGGGGGCCCCTCAGGCCAGGTGTGTGTTTCTCTTTTCTTTTACAGATTCTGATGGTTTCTTTCTCTCCTTCCCTCCCGCCCACAGTGGCCCACGAACACCTTAAGGAGAGGGGACTGTTTGGCCTCCCCGCTGCAGGCACCAACCCCTCAGACTATTACCACCAGATGACCCTCATGGCGGGCCACCCCGCGCCATATGGGGACCTGCTGATGCAGAGCGGGGGTGCTGCCAGTGCACCCCATCTCCATGACTACCTCAATCCAGTGGATGGTGAGTGCTGGGCCAGGGTGGGGGCAGGGAGTGGGCCAGGGGCTGACAGTCCCCCACCCCCTGGACTGAGGAGGGTACTTGTTCCTCCCTTTGAGGGTGAGGAGCCCAATGGTGGGGTCTGTGATTCACCCCAGTCTCTGCTCTGACTACTGTCCACAGAGGCTCGAGTCTGAACAACAGGTACAAACACTTTGTGAGTCACCACAGGGCAGAAAGTGCAGTAGGAACTGCAGACAGAACAAAACACACTCATCTCTGCCTTCATGGAACTTACAGCATAGTGGGGAGAGACCATTCAGGAACAGGGTAGGGAGCACTAGGTGGAGAGGGGGTGCAGTCTTCAATGAGGGAGTCAAGAAATCCTCATTGGGAAGATGAAATTCAAACAAAGAATTGAAAGAGGCGAGCCATACAAAAATAAGCCAGATGAGTGATACAGGTAGGAGAAACAGCAAGTGCAAAGGGCCTGGGGCAGCAGTGTGCCTGCTGAGATCAACAAAAGCCCATCCCAGTGTACCTGTACGTAAAGGGGCAGTAGGACAGGGCCAGAGCTTTGGGCTGGTTGTGCTGGCCAGTCAGGGCTTGGTTAAGTTTTGGCTTTCATGCAGAGGGACATGGGGCCCATGGATGGGTCTGGACAGAGAAGTAATGAGATCTGACTTACTCTTAAAAGGAATCCCATTCTGATTGCTGATCTGAGGATAGATTTAGGGACAACATAGAAGCGGGGCGGGGGGTCCAGTTAGCAGAGGTGGGGAGAAGTGGTAGAAGATTTAAAGGTAGAGCCACAAGATTTGTTCCCAGCTCAGATGTGGTGTTAGGGAGAAAGAAAGGCATTGAGGACAACACCAGGGTCTCCAGCCTGAGCAGCTGGAGGATGGAGTTGTCAGGAATTGAGCCTGGAGGCTGCAGGCTGGGCACGTTTCGTGGGGTGAGAGATCAGATGTTCTGGGGAGATGAAGTTCTTGGTGCCCGTGAGATACCAAGTCCCTCCCTCCCACCCCCCCATGCCATCCTCACAGCTGCTTCCACAGGGGTGCCTGCAGCTCATGACCCTGAGCCCCCGGAGTCAGATGGAGCCCCTGTTGGGGGAAAGCTGAGGAGGGAGGAGAAAGCAAAGCACCTGTCTCCCCCCGAGTCCCCGCCCCTAGTTGGTGCGGCTCCACCTGCTGGTCTTGGAGCTCAGCCCAGAAATACCCCGGGATCTAGGCCAGGCAGTGGAGCTGGAAACCACAGCAAGGGGCAGGCAGGCAGCTCCTGCAGATTTGTCATGTGCAAGCCCTGCCCGGATGGCTTGTTCCCTCCCTGATGGCAGGGAGCAGACAGAGGCCTGCAGGGAGACCTGCTGGACTGCAGGCAGTCCCGTGGGGCCAGGCAGGGCTACAAGACTCGGGAGGACCTGGCACCCCTCAGCCTCTCCCCAACCCATCAGTACTGTGCCCTGGACTTCCTGTCCACACCAGCCCTGCAACTCTACCTTATTAGCTGAAGCAAAGCCAAGTCCCTTACTTCCTAAGGCCTGGCTCAGATCCTCACCTCCTCCAGGAAGTCTCTCTGGATGACCCCCCTCAAGAGTGTTCCTGGGGAAGAGCACAGCAGTCCCCCCAAGGCCAGCTCTCTTGGGTATTGTCCCCTGTCACCCTCTGCGTGTCCCGAGGGGATCCCACAGCACAGCAAAGGGACAGCACCAGAATCTAGTCCCTGGGTCTGTTCCACGCCCGTGCCTTTCCCAGGATGGCGTTTTGTCCAGGACGAGGTGCACCTGTCAGCCTCCTGAGTACGCACATCCTCAGGCTCTCCTTCTCTCCTCCTCCTAACAGCCCCACAAGGAGCAGGTGGGTTGTCAGCAGGGGTGATGGGAGGGCTCCAGTGAGGTTGTGTGTACTTGCTACTCATCAACATGAGAAACCAGGCAACAATGACAATACAGTGCATGAAGGTCACCGCCATTGTGTCAAACAGCCACGTCTAAATGTCAGCTTCCCCCAAGTGATGTCTGCCTGGCAATGCATCAAGGTGTGTGGCACCAGGGCCAGTTGGACGGTGGGCAGACACTGAGAACCCATGGCCAAGAGGTCCGGTCAGGCAGGTGTCCCCAGAGGGCAGGAGAGGCCAAGTCAGTAAGCGTGAGCGCCTGCTGTATGCACATATGAGAGGACCATACTGAGCTCTGCCTCTGTCCTGTGCCTGTATACCTTCTCCCCTGTGACTCCCCTCAGTCACCTTCTGAGGCTGGAATGACTCTCCCCACAGTGGAATGAGCAAGTAAGTGACTTGCACAGGCCGGGGGTCAGGGTTCCAGGCCCCACTGTTTGTCACCCAGCATCATCGGCTCTTCCTCAGGCACACTGCCTCCAGGCAGCCAGGGCCTCAGGGACAGCCCACCAGGCTCGAGCAGCTGGGCTGGAGCCGGGGGTGCTTTCAGGGGGTGGTGAGAAGAGAGGGTGTGCGGTGAGCTGCGGGCAGATCTAGACCACGTCTGCCTGAGCTGTGTCCTCGCCAATGGAGGTGGTGCTGGGACTGAAGGGGGTCTGGACAGTGATCCCCAGCCCTGCGTGCTGTGTGGGAGTAAGATGGGCTGTATGAACCCGGCTCAGTGCCTAACATACAGTAGGTGCTCCATTAATGCCAGTTCCTATCTCTTTCCACCAGTATTCTTTCCCTCTTTTGAAACTACCACCTCCTATAGGATTTTGTTTTGTCAGTCGTCAGCACCGCTGTCCACCTCGTGCTTGGGCCCAGTGCCACAGCTCCTCCTGGACACGTGTTCCTCTCCACCACCCCCTCCAGCCCACCCCAGTCCTGCCAAGTCCGCTTGTCAACCCTCCCGGCCATCCAGTCCCGGGCCACCCTCCCAGCACTGCCTCTCGTCTATTCTCTCTGTCGTTCTGCGGTCAGCCCCTGTGGCTCCCATTACCCTCCGGGTAAAATCCAAACTTAACAAGGTGGCCCGAGTGGCCTTCCCTCCAGCCTGTCACTCCCAACTTGCACCCTGCCCAGTGCCACCCCACAGTGTCTGCTGGCTCCCGCACAGTCCCCATGCTCCTTCACCCACAGTGCTGCTCCCCGCAGGCTGGCCTGGCTCCAACCTACACTGGGTCCCAGGACTTGGTCAGCTGACACTTCTCTCAAGGCACCACCTAAATCCAGGCCTAACCCGACCACATCAGCTCCCCTGGGGCTCCTGCACCTCCCTCCATCCACCTGTGGAACTCAAGGCGCCTCAGCTGTGACTGGCTGGTACTTCTGTCTTAACAAACCCATGAGCCCAGCAGGCAGGTCTGGGAGCAGGGCTGCCAAGGGGCCTCTGTGTTTGTAGGGAGAGGGAGGGAGGGAGGGAGCGCAGCCACAAAAGAACCTGGGATAGAAAGATGCAAACTAATGAGGGAAGAAACTGTGCGGGACCAGCAGCTGCCGGCTTGCAGGGAGACTGGAAGGGGGCTGGAAACACGGCAGCTTTGTTCTCGGGGCGCTTGGCATTTGGCAGCGTCTGGGGGCTGAGCATCTGAGACATGGGAGGCTGGGAGGAGTGAGGAGGTGAGCTCACCCGTCACCAGTGGGTGTGGGAGCTGCCTCCGATTAAGTCAGCTCACTGCAGGACATCCTTTCTCCTCCTCTTGAGGTTGTGATTGGCTTCAGGGTGCAAGAGAAGCGCCACCACTTCCAGCCTTGGCCTGAACAGAGCCATCAGTGTCTCTGGCTGAGGCGTGGGGTGGGGGTGGGGGATTTTTCTGAACCCTGGTGGATTTCAGGAACAGACTTTTTATTTTCCTTTGTTCCCCATCAGTTATGCTCCAAGGAAATCAGACTGTAGTCCAGCACGATTTCCTGTATTGGTCATCACTTAATAGTTTTTTTTTCCCAAACCAGTTTAAACTAGAACCAGAACTTTAGCTTCCACTTTTTAAAGTTTTAGGTATTTCTGTGCAGCTCCGATGCCTACATGGATGTGTTGCTCATGTGTGACCCTAAGAGATGCTGGTGCTTACGGCCCAGGCCTGTGCCCAGCTGAGCCCAGACCTGTCTCTGGGATGTCCCTGGTCCCTCCCCTCCTGTGACCCATGGGAGCCGGAAAGCCCCCCGGCTCCGGTGTCTTTGGCTGAGACTGCACGGATCTGGGGAGGGACACCCCCAGGAAGCTTCAGTCTGCCCAGTTAAGGTGTGCTGGGTCTTCTCATCAAGGTTCTTTTCACTCACACACTCAGAGTAAATTCTGCAGGCCTGGGGCCCGGGCATCGCGGCTCCAGGGACCACCTGTGGAAGGGCCCCGAGATCCTCTGAGGACGTGTGTGCTTGTGTTAGGAAGCTGTCCATAAACATGACAGTGACATGTAAGCTCTCCGTGGGTGCAGGGGTCTTGAGAGCTTGTGAGAAGTTGGGGAGACTGTGTGTGTGTGTGCCTGTCTGTCTGTCTCACACACACACACACACACACTCACTCACTCTCCTCATGCATTCCAAGGGTATTTCTTGAGCCCCCACTATGTGCTAGGGGCTAGGGGCACAGCAGCACTCAGCATGCCAAGTGCTGCCCTCATGGTGCTTACCTTCCAGTGGGGCTGCTCTGTGGAAACACCTTTGCTGGACAAGGAATACCAGTCCTGAGGCCACGCCACCTCCCCAGCCTCCTCTCCCAGCACCTCCTCTTCACATTCCAAGAGGAAGGAGGCAGAACTACAGGGGAGACAACCTTCCAGAGGCTTTGAATGTTGAGCTGAGGTGTTGAGCCCAGCTCTGCCAGGCTGGGAGGCGACCCGCGGAGAGGGTGTGAGAAAGGCCACCTGGATCCACATCCAGCAGAGCAGGGTCCCCAGCCTACTCGTTGGCAAAACACCGGCACAATTTTTTACCTTCACCAAATGCCAGCTTCATGATCATTTATTTAACGTTATATTTTTAACAGACTCGCCTTTTAAGGTTGAATAAATCGATCTTAAAATAGAACTTAATATTTTTTTTTCTGAAATGGGAAACCTGATCATATCTGAGGAGGATGTCCC